TAGTGCCTCACACAAATTTCTTCTTTTAAAACTTTATTCATTTGGTATAAGGAGTCCCCACTTATCTTGGCTCGAATCTTTTTTTAGAAGGACGTAACTAAATCATCCGCTTTGGGTCTTGCTACTCTAAGCCTGTGAATGTAACCACTGAGGTTACACAAGGAAATGTGACTGGTTCATTACTCTTTTTTTGATCAATGGCGTATGTCCCCTATTTCGGTATGATAAACCTTTCCCTTCTAGGGATGACCTAAAAGTGGCTTTGTCATTCACTTCTCCCACCAAAGAAAGCTATATTTCAGTCCATAAACAAAAACAAATTATCTTGTGTTACAAATTTCGAATCCATTTTACCTTCACCACATATACATTACACATAGGAATTGAGCCCTGAGCAACGACGTTTGCGCTGTTACGTAAATGCCTCAAACAACACTAAACGGCATTATAGACATTCATAATACTCTTAGTTTTTATCTCTCTACTTGTCATAACCACAGACTATTCAAAACCCCTCAGGGAAGTGTGCCATTATACAGATCTATCTCTAGGACACCAGAAACAAACAACCCTGACCAATGTTTTTTTTGAAAACTACAGTTTCCCCAACCTCAAACCTCCTGTTACAACAAACGCTTCTGTCAACGTCCTCGCCAGCGCGAGTTAACGGCAAGCGTAGCCAGTGAAAAAAATCGCCTGCTACACATTATTGATTTGATGACTGAAGTTCACTACTTCTTTCACACCGGGGAAGAAGTAAACGTTCTTCTCGCGGATACAAATGATCGTCCACAAAATCCGGTATTCAACTTACAAGCAGCAAGTGGAGGACCAATCGCCACATACGGCAAAGGATATGTCCTCCTAACGAGGGTTTATGCAAACTCATTCACTGAATTTTCGTCCCATCAGACATTTCTATGTCGATCACAAGATAATAATATCCTTTCTTAAAGGGCAATGTATGTTACAATCTGCTCATCAATCCAGACAAACGGTGGTAAGTGGACAAAATTTCGTATTGTAAAATGAATTTTTAAAAATTTTCAGACATCATTTATATCGCCATCATCTGTAACAAGGAAATCCAACCAGAGGGCCACCACAACAGTGAACGATGAATTCGGATATTATTCCCAATTAGCGATCAATGTTTTGTGAGCGTACTCATCTCATGTTTCCAGACTACTTCCGATGCAGCCACTGTTCCAGCAAACCTCGTAGTTTTGTATGAAAAGAGGACAGTAACAAAGACAGAACAGAAATAGAGATAAAAGAGGAAAACAAGCTCCATGTTGTCCTCACAGACCTCCTCCATGCAACTAGCGAGGCTGAAACGCTTTCCAACACTGAGCACGAGCGTTCAGATAATTACATCAGTGAGTTTTAATGATATTAAATATTGAAAAGTTACTAAAATGGCGGTCAAATTGCATTCAAACCTAGTAACACGTGCCGTGGATGAAAAGCTGTGCCAGGGGTTTTCGCGTATGTGTAGGGTGTTTTCGTTAGTTCGTGGGAAGCTTGCTTCTGCGATATGGAGCTAATCTGTCTACCTGAAGTAAATTTTTATAAATTACGTGCTGATATTCTCACTTTATCACAGCCACTTCAGTAATTTTTTGTGTTTTTTCGTTACGTTCATCAGGTGAGCCAAGCATTAAAGTCACAAATAGGTTCATTTGTGAGTACTGTTAAGCTTTAATCACATATGGGCACTAAACAATTCTTCAATGTGATTTACCATGAAAATGGATATTGATGAAGCTGTGAGGTATTGTCATACCATATATACTTCTGTAAATGTCCCACGGGTTCTGTTCAGTAATGTGGTCTTTATGTGTTTGGGGACGGACGTACGTGTACTGATGTTATCTTGTTTTATACATACTATCCATCCATTTGTTTTTTTATTGGGAAGGTGTAAATTATGAATGTCAGCAATAGTGATGTATGAGATGGTGGAGAAAATTTGTAGCTCAAGTGGATGATTTCGGTGGGGTTCCGTCCTTTGAGCTGGATGGTTTGGTCGTGGAGCTTTCATCGTTCCTCTGAACGACATCATCAACACAAACTTCAGATACAAGTGAAGTGTTCGAATTTCTCCATATGTGTTTCACAGCTTGTTCTGTGCACCTCGATGTTGATTGGTTCTTATTGACCTTAAATTTGTCATTGTTTGCTTCTTTGTTTTGGTTGTGTCTCCCATTGGTTTGATTTTTTCCCCATATTTGTGCATGTTTTTTCTAATTGGTTGGTAAATTGGACTGATTTCAATATGCTTGTTGATTGCTGATTGACCTGAGTGCCAGGCTTCTGAAAATTCTCTGGTGTTTTTGGAGTTTCCTCTGTCTAAGATTCCCACATTTTTCCAATCGAATGAGTGTCCGCAGTTGACAAATTTGAGGTCAATAAGAACCAATCAACATCGAGGTGCACAGAACAAGCTGTGGAACACATACGGAGAAATTCAAACACCTCACTTCTATCTGAAGTTTGTGCTGATGATGTCGTTCAGAAGAACGATGAAAGCTCCACGACCAAACCATCCAGCTCAAAGAACAAAGCCCCACCAAAATGGTGATGTATGCATTTTACTGCCATACCATTTCTCCCAAACAGCATCAGCGTTAGTTTGAATGTTTTCGGTTGTCGGAAACGGCCAGTCCAACGTGCAGTCCCGCATTAGAGGTAGACCAAACTGTCGACGACCAATGTGTTTGTTGTTCGCATCCTCTATTACAAGTTCAGATGGTGGCGTGTGTATAAAATAGTTGAAGTCCACTGTAGGACACACAACATTGTTCGCTCCATACGTTTCACTGAATCACTAGGTGTTGATATCATACTTTCTTGTAGAGAATCCTAGTAATTCGCTTCTCCAAGCAAGAAATGGATCTCCGAATATGAACGAGTTGATCCCGGCTTTTGGGTTTTCTTAGAATTTCCTCTCATATTATCAATCTTAGATGGAATAAGATAAGACATTAATATCAAGACCATCGTACAGTGTATTGTGATTTGATATTAGATCACAACAACAAGAACGGAAAACATTGCCAAAAACCATGTCGTTTCCTAAATAAAAGATTATGCCATTGCACATAGTCTACACTAGCTATCCGAACAATCTTCTCCATTAGTTTGACGACTACACTGGTTGGACCAGTGGAACGATAATTACAAACCGGACTGATAGTTGTGTCTTTCTAGTCCCTTGGCAGTTTGGACTGCCTCAAAGACTTATTAACCAGTATGGCCAGAGGTTAAAAAATAACATCTTCCAAGGTTTTCATATTAGTAGTATGAATATCGTAAGGACTACTGGACTTACGTGGTTTGAGACGTTGAAGTAGGCGTAACATAGTTCCTTCCTCATCGATCACAAGATCCAAGACAAGCCGCTATCATCATAATTAATTTTTAGTCTCTCATCATCGTCGACAGAAAACAGTCTACTAAATTACTCTGATAAACCTTCAGCTCTTTCAGAATAATTCCTTGTAAATATCAACTTATTTTCTTGTACCAGAAGTGATGAAACTACATCATTCATCTGAGTTCGCCTAATTATGTACAAGAACGACGTTTGAGGATTATTTTTACGATCCACAACCATTTGTTTTTCATATGAAGGTCTAGTCTTACTTGTCAACCCCACACAAGCGTTCCTAGTCTTACAGTAAATGGGTCTGTTCTTTTCAGGGCCTGTAGAGATAAACGCACTTCAATGGTCTTTCCTTCGCTTGAGAAGTTTGTTGACCTCGTTAGTTATTTATGGAGGGCAGTTATTGGGTCTACGTAGTACTTAGCATGATATAAATGTGGACGTAACTAAGTTGAGCGTACCATTAAATACGGACCATACTTCTTTAATAGAGGATTTCTGCGAACAAATCTTGCGTGATAGGTATAGTTGTTCTTCACATGTTTGTGCGAAGTCCAACCTGATCATATTTCGTGTTACAAGCTCTAACCAGGAATGGTAAAACAGCTATTTGCCAACGGTGGGGGAGTACTTAGGTAGGTTAAATCATCGGTCGCATTAGGCGTACATGACAACAGAAGTTTTTTGACAATTGAAGTCGTCATCATAAGGAAGCCCGGACTTGCGTATCAATGAGAAAATTGGTTTCGTACCTATGTGCCAAGGATTCGTTCGCAGTGATCTACTGTCTCCCCACTTACGTATGATGAGTGTGAGTAGCCTATAAAGCGATATAACCACACTATACTTGAACATTAAAATCCACTAAAATTCTTCTGGAAATCTTTTTGAAACAAGTAATCTTTCATCAGCATCGGTCGTCTAAACTGTTCACTCGTAGCAGTCGAAATATTTCGGGAACTGGAAGCTCGACTGAAGATGCCACAGGTATTCGGAGTTCGACAACGCTCCAACCATTTACACCTTCTAATAGGAATCGTACCCACCAAGTGAAATCAAAAGTCAGAAGCGCGGAGGTTCGAAGATGTATTTGATAGGCTATCAACATATCGAGGATCGTCTGACCTGATCTGGCTAGTGACTGCATGGGTTGTTGAGCACGGTGTTCCCACTCATGACCTGGTTCGGATGCACGGCCGAGCGCCTTCAGCTAAGTGAGTCCATTAAAACTAGTGTGGTTAGCATCCAATGTTGAAAACTTACAGAGCTATTTATTTTGGGGATTTATTTACCGCTGCTCGACCAATAGCACTAGACATTTTCCTGACAATGCAACCGAACGGTCCTTATGATTACATGTCATTTTACTCGCTGGTATAACGTTGTTTTTCGAATGTAATACGATCTTCAACGAATCCCGTATAACAGCAGCTTACCAATGGACAATTAACCAGAAACAAATGTAATGTTTGATCTAAAAATGAAAGATAGCACACTTGAAGCAATTTTAACTGGCCTTCGTTAGATTTCCGGACATCACTGGATTACTAGGTTATGCGAACACTACGAACTCATGTAAGCTAACACAAGCTCAATTAACTAAAAGAACTTTAAATGTAGAATGACCACCTTGAACAATGCCGCTCAAGGTCGTAAATGTGAGTTTCACCTGAGTTCAGGTTTTCATCCATTCGAAGTACCTGTTGGGTCGTCGGCTCACTTTTTCCCTCGTTCTTTCCTCTTCCAGATAGTCTCGTTTATTACTCCTAGCACTCCCCTAACACACAAAGTGTCTTCAGGCTAGACGCACGCCTACCGAAGACAAAACGTTACTCTGTATGCCCTCATAGTGAATGTGTTACTATGGATTATTACCAAATTTCACCAAACATAAGTTCTCCAGCCTTCTCTAGTCCGACAGGTTCTTTTATATCAGAAGAAGACAGGATTGATTCTGATATTGAAGCAGATATACTACAAGCTAACATCGGTATAAATCCATGATTTGTAAATTTCATTGCTTTAGATGAGAATACAACCGTCAGAACATGCTCTCCTGCCTCTCTGCAGTCATCGAAGCATATGGGCACATCACAAGTGTTTATTCGCAAGGCCATGTTGTCTTCTGTATCCTGTCAGCTTAAGAATGCTTCAGTTAAAAGTCATGTAGGCGACCCCTCCTGTGTGGTAGGTTATCATTATTAATGTTCACAGAAAATTCCGATTTCCGAGTGTGCCATGATTCCACTGGTTTTGATGACCCATAGTCGAACAAACATTTTATTGCCTCGTGAATACACGACAATTCTGTTTTTCGCTGCAGAGTATGTTTTTATTGATTAGGTGCTTCAAAAGTATTATGCTTGTGTGTTGCATGCAAATTGTATACATTTCTCAAAATATCCAATACACTGTCATTGTTAGCTACAAATATCAGCCAGTATTTCAACTAAGTGTATGGAAAATGTCATTTTGTAGGTTTTTTGATGAGAAACCTTAGACACTGAATCGAAATATGTTCCCCAATTTTCCTCGTGTATTCGACCATATAGTGACGTCTTTAGCTCCTTAGTATTTTTCTTATACTCGGTTTTGCATTTTTACTCCATTCATGTTGGCAAACCTAGTTACTCGTTTTTACTAATAACAAGAGGGTAGATACAGTGTACTTTCAATATTTATCAGATGAAAAATAATGCAAGGAAAGGAGAGTTCAAACACACCCTGTTTGGAGCTAAGATAACTAACGATTGGTGAATGCTCTTATGCTACTACACTCATACCCTCATGTGTAAGAGCTCACCTAGATGAATTAAAAATGGCCAATACGTCAAACACACCAGTCCATGAAGTTATTGACTCTTGGTTAGGTAATGTACACGTTGACTCCTCATTAAAGGGCTACGAGTGGACCGTGATCAAATCTTAAGTGTATATAGGAAGTTAGTTGTGATAGTGATATAATCATTTTTCTGTCCTATTTTGAATATCTTGTCACATCTCAAATTTTCAATTACCACGTTTCCTTGATTGCCGCTTCATTCCTGTCGGCAGGTTTTGTTATTTTCCTTCACTGTGGTAATACAAAGTCCATGAAAATAAACAGTTGCATATTTTTATTCTGCTCAGCACTGTCTCCCAAGATCTCCAAGCATTTGGAGGTAAGCGTGTCGCTCACCTCGAGTGTATATTTTTAGTCTTGTAGGCCAAGCCCTGACTTCTTTCAGTGTTTTGCATTTTTGATCTATCTTTGTTGATGGTATGTGCTAACTGCATAGAAATATGTGTATTAATTTCTGTTTTTAAAGAACAAACTCTTGAAGTATTCTTCTGCTTATGTGATTTAATTGTTGAGGGGATCAATTCACCTAACGGGTGTTACAAATAAATACGAACTGTATTCGAAAGTAGTTCGTCACAAAAATGTCGTAAAGTATATCGATAAACCAAGATCATGAATACGTTTTGGCGTTTATTGTCTAAAAGTTTTGAACTATTATTTATTTCACCAAAATTGAAGGTCGATCAAAAAGTTATGCATAGAAACAGGCAGACTGACTTAACGGATACTTCAAAATAACTTACAAACCTTTTCATCAGACGATTAGTATTCGTTTGTGGTAGAGATAATAGTTGATCTAGCGTAATAGCCCCTGAATTTTTTGAAGACTTCCCTTATTGTTAATTCAAGTATCATTTCTCGTTATTTATTGCTTCATTTTTCACTTTCATGGTTAGGGTCCTGAAAGATTGCCTAGTGATATCGTGTTGAACCTCATGAATTCTTGAATTTTTGTGCCGTGGTCTTAATTTGTTTTCCTTCTGTTTGTTTTGAAAACGACCATGTAGTTATACTGTTCTAAGATATTGTTGTCTAGCCATTTACGAAGTTGTAAGTAGTTATTAAAACTAAAGAGCTTTTCTGGTTATCTATGGTTTTACATGAATCAGATTTGAAAGTATCAGGACATCATATGACATTTACATTTTGGTTTACCTGACTGCTAAAAGCTCATTCGCACGTACTTCTGGGTGGGTAGATTAGTTGCCCACACACAAATGAACTCTCTATATCTATGGAAACTACTTTTCTTGCTTCGACTAACAATCAAATGATCCAGATTATTAATATTATTATTATTATTGCTATTATTTACTACGTCATTATTCACCCTCTTTTATTCCTACTCTGTCTATACTTATTTTTACGGCTTATACAGCAGCTCGTCTATGGTGGAAATTCGACTCTATCTAAACGTTCTCGAGTCACTGTCCGGTTGAAAATTGTATGTTACCACCGAATACGAGTACTGAACCAGTTTTTCTAAAACCACGTGCACCATTCAAACTGGCTGCCTTCAACGTTCGCACACTTATGCAGGTTGGACAACAGATAGGGCTGGCTATGTCTTTGGAAAGTCTTAATATCGATGTTTGCTGTCTATCTGAGACCAGTATTCAAGACTCTGGTAAAGTACTACAAATTCGCTCTCCATCTGTCGCTTCAAAAAGCTTGTTTCACGTGCGTTTATCCGAGGACCCTGTGGCATCTTCGTCTGGTCTTGCTGGCGTTGGTGTCGCACTAAGCGCTAGAGCTGAGGTGACACTAATCGATTGGCTCCCCATAAACAGTCGGTTATGTGCTGTTAGATTAGAGAGTTCCATCAAAGTGAGAAGAAATCGGCGTGAGAAACGATGTCTTTCCGTCATCTCCGCCTATGCTCCGACAGATTGCAGCCCGGATGCAATCAGTCAGTCAGCCACAACAATCAAGGATGAGTTTTACCACCAGTTATCTGTTCTTCTCCAGAAAGTGCGTTCGACAGATATTGTAGTACTAGCCGGAGACTTGAATGCTCAGGTCGGGCGTCTAGGCAAAGAAGAGAGTAGTTTAGGTGGCCGATGGGGACTCGTCGGTCGCAGGACAGATAATGGGGACCGTCTACTGCAACTATGCACAGACCACAACATGTTTCTGGCTAGCACTAACTTCCGGCACAGTCATCGCCGATGTGCCACCTGGCGTCCTCCCTCTGCATCTCATGCCTGGACTCAGGTTGATCACATCGCGATCAGCTACCGCTGGCGTGGTTGTGTACAAGACTGCCGCTCCTTTTAGAGTATCTATCTGGACTCTGACCATGCCTTGGTCTGCGCCAATCTTACTTTACTTTTCAGTGGCCAACGAAGTGACCGCCATCAACGGATTGATATTAGCAAGCTGGTTGCAACTTCTGTTGCAAGTAAGTATCGAACCGAGCTAGCCTCTAGGCTAGCTACCATTCCACCGAAAAGTAAAGATAAGCATTGGTTGCAATTGCATGACGCCATGAAAACGACGGGTACAGTCAGCTGTGGTTTCGCGAAACGTCCCGCTTATAAGCACTGGGTTTCTTCAAGTTCCTTACAACTCATTGAAGCCCGTTGGTCTACTCCGGGTGACCGTGAGTTTGACCATAAACGAAGGATGTTACGTAAGGAAATTGGGCAAAGCTTGCGTAAGGACCGAGAAGCCTGGTGGTCGAAGCGTGCTAATGAGCTGGAAGCAACAGCTACATCTGGTTATTACCGGAAGCTCTTCCAACTCATCCGAGCCACTGGCAGCAAGAAGTCTGGTGTGAGCGAAACAATCTACGAGGATGATGGGACGCCAATCACTAACATCCATCGACGTCTTGGACGATGGATAGAATTTTTCGAAGGGCAGTTCAACTGGCCTGCTGCCCCGGCAACATCGGTCAGACTGTCCTGCCCTCCATGGCCGGTGACGACTGATCCACCAAATGAGGCGGAAGTCCGTAAGGAACTCCAACTCTTGAAGCGTTACAAACCACCTGGCCCATATGACTTACCTCTGGCTCTTTTTAAAGATGGTGGTGACTTTCTGACTAAGGAACTAATGATGTTGTTTACAAAGGTCTGGGAGCTCGAGAGTGTACCAACGTCATGGAATGAGTCGATAGTTGTCCCTATCTTTAAAAAGGGTTCACGTCGTTCCTGTAACAACTATCGTGGGAAAGTCTACTTCCGATTGCGTCCAAGCTATTGGCTTCCGTCATACTTCGTAGGTTGTTCAAAACCCGAGAAAGATTGACTCGCGAGGAGCAGGCTGGGTTTCGTTCTGATCGAGGATGTATTGACTATATCTTCACCGTCCGCCAAATGTTAGAACACCGTCATACTTATAAAGGCCAACAATCGTAGTGTTTCCGGACATCAGGGCTGCCTTCGATTCGTTGAATAGGACTGTTCTCTGGGATTGTCTATTGAAGAAGGGTGTGCCTGAGAAGTTTATTAACATCCTAAAAGCCCTATATACAAACACCTCAGGCAGAGTGAGGGCATACAGCCACCTTTCCCTATTGTTCCATTCGAGCAGTGGGGTTAGGCAGGGTTGCCCAATCTCACCATTCCTCTTCAACTTTGCCATCGATGACATTCTGGAAACAGCTCTGATGAATGTAAGTGATGGTGGTGTGGATCTGTTGCCTGGAGAAAGACTTCTCGACCTTGAGTATGCGGATGATATTGTCTTACTGTGCGATAATGCCCAAGCCATGCAATCCGCGCTGAATAAGTTGGCAATCAGTGTCCGTAGGTACGGTATGAGCTTTGCACCTTCGAAGTGCAAAGTACTTCTACAAGACTGGCAGGATTCTAATCCTGTACTCACCCTGGATGGTGAGCAGATAGAAGTAGTTGAGGAGTTCGTGTATCTAGGTAGCTGCATAAGTGATGGTGGGGGTGTGAGTGATGAGATCAATGCACGAATAGTGAAAGCCAGAGCGACTTATGCCAATCTGGGCCATCTTTGGCGCCTTCGTGATGTTAGTCTGGCTGTAAAAGGTTGGATCTACAACGCGTCGATGAAAGCAGTTTTGCTCTATGCTTGTGAAACCTGGCCTCTCCGAGTTGAGGATGTCAAACGACTCTCTGTGTTCGATCAGTCAGTCAGTCAGCTACAACGTAGGACCAGGCACATATATGCATCGGTCCAAGTTGCCATACCTCATTAACACAACAAGACGAACACCGAATTCATAAAAGTAGTTAATTCAAAGGTGGTAATATATAAAAGAAAGTTTGCAATAAGGATATAGTACAGGAAGAAAGAATTAGTTCGTAGAAAGAAAGATATTAAGCGATTTTAATCTCTTAGTTTAAGGGAAGGCAGAGAGTGTATACACCGACGCCATTGTGATCGATTCTGAGCCATGATACCCAGAGTCTCCAACCGTTGGTTACGATAGTCGCGCGGACCTCAACCAAGTTGTCTGCATCTACCAACATGGCTCAGATCAGAAGTTACTGACTTCAAGCACTGATGCCACGTTTTGGTTTCTCTGCTCCTAACTTTCTTCCAGCCATCTCGAACACCGGTTAGCATTACACGTCGTGGTAATCGGTGTTCAGGCATACGTAACACGTGGCCCAACCATCTCAGTCGATGAAAATTCACAACCTCATCAACTGATTTACCATCATTTTCTAATACCCTGCTTTTAACCTTACTATTACTTACCCGGTGATCGCAGCAGATGCGAGCAATGTTTCTAAGGCATCTGCGATCAAATACTAGTAGCTTACGAGTGTCTTCTACTCTTAATGACCATGTTTCGCTGCCGTAAATTAAAACAGAACGGACTGCCGCTGTGTTCGATCATCGTTGTCTTCGAAGGATTGCTGACATCCAGTGGCAACACCATGTTAGTAATGCAGAGGTTCGGCATCGTGTGTTCGGTCACAGAGACGATAATGCATTTGGTGTCACCATCTTGAAACACCGACTTCGGTGGCTTGGACATGTTCTACGAATGTCGTCTCAGAGGATTCCACGTCGTGCATTATTTGCCGACTCTGGGACTGGTTGGAAAAAGCGGAGAGGTGGTCAGTATATGACATGGTGTCGTGGCATGAAAGAAAGCTCCAAAGTACTGGTTTGCGTTGGACCTTCACGACTCCCTGGCTGGGGTCCGAGAGGTGGTGCGACACAATGGCGATCATGCTGTAACCTTCTTTTACTTTCTTCATAAAAAGTGATTTTGTCTTCCTTAACTGAAAGATTTCTTCTGATTGTACCTTTCCGTTCCCCCATTTTTACCATTATTATTATTACACCACCTTACATCAATCTCTTCGTTATTATTATCTCCTTTTTTCCCTTCCCATTAAATTCCCATTGTTTTGTGTGGCGCATATATATTTGGCGCATTCTTGTACCAATATTTATGTGTTCAAATAAATAAATAATAGAGATTAGTTGCTTTAGTAGTTCGCATGTATTTATAATAAGTATGGTACGTGAAATAATTATATATATGATAATTACGCCTTGTCATAGTTGCGTGCTTTTATTGCTACCTGTATTTTCTCTTTATGTGATATACTATAATAGTTAAACGTTATTCAGTAATTCATTTTTTTACTGTAAATCAATTGTAGTGTTTTGTTTCTAATCATGCTCTCATCTGACTTATGCTACTAACTGTAAACCTACGCAACGAATTGAGATTAGTATGTTATCGATCAATGAAATGGTTATCCACCACTCTCGTAGTTTCATTTTCCTTTAGTCAGCAAAACGTATATGTAGTTTACTCATTGACCATTTTATCACCTGTAAAATTGTGTTCTTAGGTGTACTACAGACAGTTGATAAATACTTCATTCGTAATTTCAAAAAACATGTTTTTATATTTCTTTTTGACGCTTAATGGAGTAACTTATTATTTTTCTTATATATTTGTGCTTCTCTGTAGTCTTTTCGCAAGTATGTAGCGATTGGGACAAACAAAGGTGTCATATTTATTTTCAGTAAGTTCACATTATTCATTTCTATCATGCAAGTTTTCCTGCTTTCGTACGTTGTCCCACATGTATTACATTTTTATAATACTCCAAAACACAAACATTGGTACAAGGAGGCACCAAATATATATGCGCCTTTGTCATGCGATTTGTGTGAGGTCTGGAATACTATCCAGGCGCCCAAACAGAAGCAGGATAATGCTGTTATATTATATGTTCAGAAGTCATAATGTATAGATACTTTATACCTATTTTAAAAGTTCATAATAAAAAGTAGCAGGTGATAGAAATCACACAAAAATTAAATTAATATTAAAGTCGCAATTATGCTACATAATCTACTTTAAATATTTATATTTGTTTTTACTGTTCCTCCTGACTGTCTAACTAAAACTGTCACACTAATTAGCCACTTGGTAGTATTCAACGCCATCCTTCTATTCATTAGTAATTCAGATGAACTGATCATCGCCGGATATCTCAGTAGCAATGTTTCTGGTTACGTTATTAGGTAATACGATTCTGAATTTCTCTAGTCCGTCTATCCCATAAAAACAGATTTATCTTTCCAATGAATGCCAGCGAACACCAAGTCCATGATTTCCTACCTATTTTTTTCCAACTACCTGGCGGTAGTGATTTATTAAAACACAGAAATTAGTAATTTAATTGACAGTATGCGTTTTATCGCTCTGCCATTTTTTAGTCATTTACAACAATCAACTGGTTGTCTCTAATTTCAATAACTTCGACTTGCGTAAATGAATATTGTTACTATTTTTCATTCTTGCTACAGCTGCTTGTAAATTTCTTGTCGGTTGTAAGAACTATCACCCGCTTCGGTTTATTAAAACCTAGACATCTACACTGTTAAGAAACTTTCAAATAGTTTACCTGCATACAATCGTTAATCAATATGGGTTTAACTATCACTAAGCCGATAAACCTACTTGAAGTTTTTGGTTGTTTGCTCAGTGAATTAAAAATGCTGCTAAAATGGAACACAATTTTCACACTCCTGGAGTGCTTAGTACCAGGTTTGGCTTATTTCTTTGATTGCCAAAATAAATATAGGACATTTTTTATTCTTGTAGTCGTGCTCCTTTTCCTTGTTAGGACTTTATTTTCTCATCTGTTTTTAAACCTTACCAATGTTAGATTGCTTTTGTTTCTTTGAATACAATTAATATTGGTCCAGGGGCATTAGTATTTAATGTTTTTCGATAGCAGTTATATGCCAATCTAAACTGAACGCAATGTCTTCCAACTTACGAGCTTTCTTGTATCAGTTTTTTTATATTACACCAAAGCATAAACCTAGTTTTATTATTTTGTTAGACCAAATATAGCGCTAGCAATTTTTTATTGTCACCGAGGAAGATCTATACATTATGTCAACTAATCAAGCTTCTACTCCGTTGATCCGATATTCATTGTCATTACATGTTTCAACTCTCCAATTACTCACTTCTGTTATGTAGATTTACATCAAGTCTTGAGACTTTGTTTTGGCAACATAAGTCCACCAAATACTCCTGAAGCAAAAGCTGGGGAAGCTCAAGGCCCAATAACTGTCTTAAGCCAGAATCCAAATGGAACTTTATTAATGACTGCGTATAGTAGTGGTAGAATAGCTGTTTGGCAAATTCCTGCTTCAGTCTTATCTGAGAAATCTGGACAAGATACAATAATGGGTCGCCAGTATGCTCCTGATGACGAGTCAGATATACCAGAAACATCACAGAGAAACGATGGTGGTCTTAACTCTATTCAATTAAATTGCAACTATGCACCACAAGAGGTCTCACTGACCCTCAAGAAGAGGGGTTCAGTCTCTTTTTCCAATAACGGTGGTTATGGGCGTCTCCTCTGTATAGTCGACGATGCTCATGGAGTTGGTCATTCGATCGGTCTTTGTTGTTTTACTACTGTTTCCTCGCTAGCTGCGTGTGTTGACACCGGAGGATCAGTGTTTCAGCTTAAGTTTACGTGAGTTTTAAAGCTATATTTGTTGTGATTAACGTCTATTTAGTTCCAGGATGATGTAAACACAATCATTTTAGAAATGATGTTTCATGAATTTGAGTTCATATATGATTATTTTTCTACCTTTCTCGATCCGACGTACTTTACGTTTTGAGTGACTAATGCATCTAACTTCCACACATCCTATTCTTTCTAGGTTCCTAACAATATTCACTGTACTGCTCAAATTAAGTTTTATGAACTAAATAAGCTTGGTGTCTGAGCGAAATCTGCACAGTCCCTCCAAATTTCCTAGTATGGCCGAGAGTTGGGAGGACCCGCTTTCTCTCTCAAAATGCCCTCACATGGCCAAGCGTGTATACAGCCACTTCCAAGGAAGTCGTATCCATTACCTTCTCACGGAGATGGTGTTAGTTACGAAATCGAGAAGACGAAAAGCGAATGTTCAGCGCTTTAACTGGGCTGGTGGATACAGAGGATCCACCTGGGAGAGTTTGAAAATCCTGATTCCGATCCATTGGTGCACATAGGCTCCAGGATCCTAAGGGAACAATGACGTATGAACCTATTATTAGTCACCGGCTACATGAAACTGTATCTTTTAACGTTGCTCCACCGCCTTATGGGTTGAACCTTCACGTCAATGGCTCGCAGAGTGGCCCTCTAAGCATACCGCCTGCTTCGGTTTGGTCACTCGGGTAGTATCACAGCCCTCACACAAACCAAGTGACGAAGTGCAGCGCATATCTGCTTGGTGCCTCCTTGTACGAATGCTTATGTGTTGAAATAAATAATCAATAAGTGTTGCAAAGTCTGTGCTATCAACACAAACTTTGTTTCTGCAGTAAAGAAAATAAAAACAATATACAACAATACGATATTTTTATTGAACAGTTTTCTTTAACAGTTTAGTTCACTTCTGAGTACCACTTATTTTCACTGATAACCATTAACTCGGTGCTGCAACTGTGCTCAGACAATAGTTTCACATAGCGAGCCCCTGCACCAAACCAACGATGGACTCAAATAGACCATATTGCTATCAGTCATCATTGGAGTGGCTCAATAAAAGACTGTCGCTCGTTCTGGAATATCCGTTTGGACTCCAATCATGCTCTAATACGAGCATGTGTTTGCTTGCGTCTCTCTGAACGCGGGCAAATCACATCGAGAAGACCCATTAGAGACGAACTCAGTGACGAGGAAGTCAAAAGTAGATTACAAGAACAACTGAGGTCACATTTACGTAGTTCTGAAAACGAGACTGACCCAGATGTTGCTTGGAACGAACAGCTGTGGAAATAGCAGTGACATCTATTAGTGATTTAAACCAAAGGGTTACGAAGAACCAATGTATTTCTACTAAGTCTATTGCACTGACGGATTCTCGCGAACTTACCCCATCAGGCCCTAAACACGATGAAAAACGAAAACAAATCAAATCTAGATTAACCATAAGTCTAAGGAAAGACCGTGAGCAGTGGTGGGCAACGAAAGCAAAAGAGATGGAAAAGGTGGCGGTTGTAGGCAACACCAGACAGCTTTTCAGACTAATAAAAGAAACGAATTAGGAAGTTATGTGTAAGTGAGACGATCTCGGAAAAAGACGACACTTATCTGCTCTCAGCCTAGACGCTTATAACGATGGGCGGAGCACGTTGAGGAGCAGTTTAACTGGCTTTCAGTTACTCTACGACTACCCACCATTCCCAAACAGTCTGAATGGAACATTGAAGTAGCCCCCTCGACTCTAATTGAAGTTCAAAAGGCTATAGTTAATCTGAGACGAGGAAGAGCAGCTGGTCCAGATGGATTGGCTCCAGAGGTCTTTAAGTACGGTGGTCCAGCTTTAGCGATTAGGTTGATCAATAATTCAAAAAGACCTGGGAGTTGGACGTGATTTCATCTGACTGGTCGCAATTACTGATTGTCCTGATATATAAAAAGGGGTCAAAACCATCCTGTGATAACCATAGAGGGATTAGTTTGACTGACGTAGCATCTTAAATACTGGCTTCGATAATTTTTTCTTCTCTATTTGTCCATAGACCAAAAACTCCACTTATCTTGAAAGTCTGGTCAGCCCTAATGGGTTGGCGTCTGAGGAAATCTGCACGGATTCTGAAAGCTCGTTTGGCTTTTTCCAACTTACGTCACCTATGGGAAATGCGAAGTATCCGTCTATCAATAGAAGGATGAGTGTACTGTGTAGCAGTTCGTTCTGTTTTACGTAACGGCTGCGAAACGTGGCTATTAAGAGTAGAAGATACTTGTAAGCTACTAGTATTTGACCACAGATGTCTTGGAAATATTGCTTGTATCTGCTGCGATCACCGGGTAAGTAATAGTGGGGTTAGATAAATGGTATTACGGAATGACGGTCAATTGATTGATGAGGTTGTGAATCTTCATCGACTGAGATGGTTGGGCCACGTGTTACGTATGCCTGAACACCGATTACCACGACGTGTAATGCTAACCGGTGTTCGAGATGGCTGGAAGAAAGTTAGGAGCAGAGAAACCAAAACGTGGCATCAGTGCTTGAAGTCAGTAACTTCTGATCTGAGCCATGTTGGTAGATGCAGACAACTTGGTTGAGGTCCGCGCGACTATCGTAACCAACGGTTGGAGACTCTGGGTATCATGGCTCAGAATCGATCACAATGGCGTCGGTGTATACACTCTCTGCCTTCCCTTAAACTAAGAGATTAAAATCGCTTAATATCTTTCTTTCTACGAACTAATTCTTTCTTCCTGTACTATATCCTTATTGCAAACTTTCTTTTATATATTACCACCTTTGAATTAACTACTTTTATGAATTCGGTGTTCGTCTTGTTGTGCTAATGAGGTGTGGCACTTTTGACCGATGAATATATGTGCCTGCTTCTGACTGACTGATTAACTCGGTGGCGAACTCATTCTGTTAAGCCAAGTAATTTTATGGAGAAAGTTATCTTCATTCTATGATTGTTATCGATATTTTTTGTTAATATTTTATGAATACTGGCATATTATTTTTAATTTTAGACAAGGCTTAGTTGGTATGAAAGGCGAATCTATATGTTTCTTTTCTGGAAGGTAAGCTTTTGAGTAACAGTTTGTTACCTGATTGTTTTTTGTCGGCATTTCATTGTCGAATGTCAGTGTTCATTAGAAATAGGTAATTTATTTTTATTTTTATTTTCATTACAGTTACATGTTATCACGTAAACATCACATAAAAAGTTCTCTTAAGTGGTCGAAAAGTTAATATAAAGTTTTACAAATAGGAATCGATAATTTGTACTGATTTAAGTCTCTAAAGAATATGAACAAATATTTTTGATCAAATCCATTTGAAACATTCTCTGATTTGCTTCATTTTTCGCATTATTTTCGTTCCTAATTAAAAAAACGTCTATCAAAGTTATCTTTTTGGTAGCAGTGCACACTGTTATAACTATAAATCTTTAATCAATACATAATTCTGTTCATGTAAGGCCCTGTGTCCACACTGTTAACCTTTTATGTCTCTAGTTTATTGGAGAAAATGCCCTGTTGAAAAATCAATCTTTATAGAAATAATAGTGAACCATAAAAGTAACAGCAAAGTACTAAGAAATACGAATCAACTTAGTATCTGAAATAAGTTGGAGCAGCTTTAAGGTTTATTGTAAAAAAACACTGATTGTGGTTATTTCTATGGTAAATGTACATACGCTGACGTGACATTTTCTATTTGTTTTTCCTCAGTCATGGAGAAATATGTGCAATGGAAGCCCTTGGATTGAATGCGTCGAAAACTAATGGACATTTTGATTCAAAACAGTTAGATGATCAACTTAAAGAAGCTAAGCAGTCGATCTTAAATTCTTCTGCTCTTCTGGCTCTGGCTTCGTTTACCAAACTGATCATTGTACAGTTGCGTCCTCGTGTTCAAGTATCCTACTGGCAGGTTTTGAAAGTTAGTTCTTAGATAGTATCTCCAATTGTTGTCGTCCCAGATTAGTCAATGTATTCCTTTGTTTGTTTCTGTTTTTTTGATGTCACAAAAATTGTTATGGAGTTGTTGGGATATTTTTTTGTTATGATGCTAGATTATTAGCTTCGTGAGGTTGTATTTAAATCCTCAACATGAATGCTTTTATTTAGAAGTAATGGTTCTGTTGTGTGGTATGGACTTGTAAGTAAGATGACTATGTTATATTTTTTAACCATACAGTGCAATTTTTTTTATTCATTCCAGGGACCACCTGCATTCCTTCCCTTTTTAAATTGGTACTGGAGTGCTGATTCTCCTGATAATGCATTTATTGCTTTTGGTCGAGGTTCAGTTGTTTACATTATGCAAGTTTCTAAGATTTCCCAGTCAGACAACACTTCTGTTACTTCTTTACGATTAAATGATTCTCCTTTTCCTGATAGTTCCACCCTCTTACGTTCGAATACTTCAAAGAATAGCGGGAATCGGCTTGGTTTTAAATTGTTATATTCTTTTAGTTTCGAACAAAACTTTCTCAACCTGAAGGTAAATAATATTTGATCGTTTGTAGTTGAGCAGATTACCATATGGTTTGTCTATTTTTCTAAAATTGTTGAACTGATAATGTTTATTCATATATATATATATATATATATATATATATATATGGGTGGTTAGATAGATTTCAAGAAAATCGGTCTGATTCAGGTTATTCCTTAAATACCAGGTCACTGTTTTGGTTACTTGATCATACTGGATAAAAAAGTGGAATATGAATCTGTCACACATTTGACCGGTGTGTTACATTCATCCTTAATCCGTAAAATATATCACGTATAAAATAAGTTTCGTTCCTATCTACCTGTTGTTAAATGAAGAGTTCAAAATACTTGTGTTCACCTCTACATTTCACTTTCTAGTTAATGCTTTCGTTTTATTCGGTTTCGGTTTTCTTTTCTCATTTCTTGTTTTGTTTTTGGTTTCTATTAGTGGATCTCTTTCAATCAACTTATCGTTTTAAATGAATGTGAACAACTTCATTTGTTGAATAGTATAACTGGGGAAATGCTAGAAGTAAGCCTTATTCTCTTGTTTATCAGTTTTTTAAAAATGATAATCATTAATACTATTGTGGTGTGTGCTACTTATATTGATATAAGTAGTATATATCGCGAGTTAAAACGTAATATCTGGCAGCAGAAGATGAGGTGAAGATCAAGAAAGGAAGAGCGAGAGCACAATGGAATTTGTAAGAAAACGCATGTACAATGGAATGGGAGACAATGGATTAGTGTTTGCAACGAAAACAGTCCGGTTTGATATGATGCATTGATATTTTGCAAATTGACGATTGACTTTATGGTATTCAGATTTTATTGAGATAGTCTGTAATTTTGTGCTAAATGCATTCGGTTGTCCCCACCTGTGTTCTTGTTCACTACGCTTTTACTGTCATTTATGCTCCGTAGATTGTTATCGTTATTGTACTCTGGATAATTTATTATTTTCTTTGAAGTGCGGAAGCTACAAATTATTAGTAGTGTTTCATTTCAAAGATCACAGTTGTTGATAACTTGAGATTGAGGAAGCCTAATCCCTTTGTATGCATATAGAATATAATTCAGTGAATTACTTTTCATTTAATAGGTTGTGAATACATAAGATTGTTTATTGTAACAAAATTTAAACTCAGTATGATAAACAAGTTACATGTGAAGATAATTGTTTTTAGCAGGAACTCTTATCCCGTTGTTTCTGCATACCACATTTACATCCCACCAATTTGGTGTTAAATGTATTACCAAAAGTTAAAAATAGGTTCTCTGACTAGACAACTAATCACTTTAAATAAAAGTTTTACTTCTTTTGAAACCCCTTTTGATTTACTACTTAAAACATCTCACTCAGTCTCTTATTTATTTATTTGGTGTGAAGTTTTGTCTAAGTATTGTGTAAATACAAGGGACGGTTATCCCTTTTTTTTGCTACCACTTCAGTTTTTGGGTTCAAATTAAATATGAGTATGGAATATATAACTGTGACACATATGTATTCGCCATTTTCTACTATAGAAATATTTACCACAGGATGCGTTGGTTGAATTGTCAGTGAGATTTTACGTACTTTACAAAAACGAGTCATCTCATACAAAGTTAGTTATTACGAACTTTTCTTTTCTGAAAGCTTGCCACTTGTTTAGTTTTTTTACGGATTGCTTGATTTTAAAGAATCACCGAGAGTAACCAGTCTGTTATTATCACAGAAAATTCATGTACATATACCCTTTCATCATAATAGCAACAGACTGAGAATTGTTATTTCTTTTTCCGTGTACAGAATTAATAGACAATTCACCGTATTTTTTTAACATACCTTAAAAACAATAAACATAAACAGCATTACTTTGGACTACAGTCACTATTATTTGGTTAAGTGACATCTCTTTCCTTTGAAATATTGCTAAAAGAACCCTGTTATCTACCTACCGTGATTGTGACCAAATACCGTTGTTTCTCTTGCGTTCACATGACAACTGGGTACAGTGTATTTGTTTGTGATCAGTTATCATTTGACAGAGTATCGAACTAGTCGCTCCTGGTAGTTTGTATGTGAAAGTTCCCCAGGTTTTTATTCTAGCTTCAATTATTACTTGTTATCAGTTTAAGTGTAGTGAACGAGAACACAATTTGGGACAATTGAATGTCTTTGAATACAAAATTACAGAACATCTTAGTAAAATCAGAGAACCATACAGTAAATACTTCATTTGCAAAATGTCAGTCAGTCGTCTCAGAATTCCTTGTTCTTTCATTTCCACACCAATCATTCTTTGTTCTCGTTCTCTTTTCTTTGGTCTTCTTAACCTTCTACCTCCAGGCATTTCACTTTCGATTGATGATGCATATTACTTATATCTGTCAACATCAGTAGCACACACCACAATAATACTACCCTAGATTACACGAATAATGATTTTTTAGCTCATTAATATTATTTACTATATAACGTGCAATGTGTAATTTCCTGCAATCCTTTTTTAGACCATTGATATCTCAAATATTCATCTCCGTCTTAATTCGGATTTGTTTAAGTTTCCGAAAATTAGTGAAGCTCTTGTAAGTTGTTATAAATGTTATAACTTTTCGTTTGGTTCAAATTAATTTGCTTCGTTTGAGATTTTGACGGGAATTACGCGCGTATACTTCTTTGACATCTTATGTTTCTTTTGTACATCAAACGTATATCTGAAATAGTCTAACTGAAGCTAATGGAGCAAGAATTACTGTTGCCTTTCGTACCTACCTATGTTGTAATTATAACACGCCTTTGTTTAGTGCAGGACAGGTTTTTGTCTGTGTTATTTTCCCCTTCATAGCTTCATTATTGATGACGAATTATGTTGAGTTTTGATGAATATTTGTAGCTTACGTGGTTGATTTAGGTAGAGTTTCGTTCTCTAAACTGGATAGTTTAATTGTGGAGCTTTCATTGTTCTTCTGAATAACATCTTCAGCACAAACTTCAAATAGAAGTGAAGTATTCGAATTTCTCTATATATGATTCACAGCTTGTCCTGTTGACCTCGATCGTGATTAGTTATTGGTAACCTCTAACCTATCATTATCTGCCTCTTTATTTTAGTTGTATCTTTTTTTGACCTCACCCTTAATCCCTTATCTGTCCATGATTTTTCTGATTGGTTGGTAAAGTGGATCAATTTTCATGTGTTTGTTAATTGCTGATTGACCTGAGTCCCATATTTCTAAAATTCTCTGGTGATCTTAGTATGCCTTCTATCCATAATTTGAACCTTTTCCCAGTCGAATATGTGCTCACAGTTGTTCACATGCAAGCGAAGATATGTCATGGCGATGGGTTCAGATACTCTATTTTTTGTCTCTTTATATCACCATGTTAGCTTCCAGCTTTTCTTCTTTATAATTTACCTATTTTTCATATCTTTTGGTGTCACTTGTGATTCTGGTTAGTTTTTTTTTTTACCGTATTAATGACCTAACACCGGCCTGTGCCCAAAAATAGTATTTGCCACAAAAACTTGTCGTAATTCAGCAACTATATGCAGCTTCACCCTTAAGTTTACGTGTCACAGCCATTTTGTGATGGCTATATTGATTATGGCTAACTGATAGTCGTTTAATAATCTACTTTCAGTCTCAAAGATTAGCTATGGGGATCGAGATTTGAGCTTGCATTCCAGCAGATGAAATTCGTAATGCTGTATAAAAGCAGTTGCATAGTGAATTTCTAAAGGTAGCAAATTCATTTCCAGTTGTTTTACCTTGCAACGTTACTGAAAAAAATTTATAACTAGTGTACATTTTGGATTCATCATTTAAAACTTACTGGACAAGCCCTATTTATTCACGATGGGATGGGTGCTGGTTATAATCTGGTGCATAATTTAAAATATTTATTTACTTATTTCGAATTCACGTTTACTTTCTTATTAAACAGTCTTTTTAACAACTGTAATGTGTTGCGAAATAAATTCGTCAAATAAAAGTTTGTAAACATTTTGCTGAGGTTTTAACCGAATAATATATATATATATATATATATATATATATATATATATATATATATATATTTGTTCATCGAATCTGTTTTCTATTAATCTCATTTTATGCAGGCTGTTGCTGGGGAACGAGCTTGTATGCATTCCATTACTGCTTATGGATCTCAGTTATTGATCCTCGGTGAAACCGGGTTGTACCTGATAGCATTGCGTACATGGAACGAGGTAAACTTTAGCTCCTATTTTAAGAAAGAAATTACTCGATAAATTCATTTATTTTGAAGCAACATCTTGTTACTATAATTCCCAGTTATAAGTACTGTGTTACTAATTTTTTTCGAACACAAAACAGTAATATAATTATAATTAGTTTATCACTTTGATTAAATTATCAAATCCTCTATGATCAGTCTTCAATTTCTACTTCAATAAATTTAACATTGTAGATGTCGATTAAAAAAAATCATTAGGTAAACGCAGTTATTTCTCTACTTAAATCCGTCCACAATATTTTAAAATGTCTAAAATACCCTTCAATTGTTTTTCGGTTGTTTTCAAGCTCTAAATATGTTATTAAATAAAAAGATTAACCTTAGTAATAACTGTTATTCAGGGTGACTACGAATTTTCGTAATGATTGGTCATAGTTGTTTGTGATAGAATTCAATATACTCAGTTACATATCGGTTATCTGTAATGAAAATTACAAATAATTTAAACATCAGGGGAATAAACTTAAAAATGATGTACTAGTTAGTGAAGCTTTTTATTTTAATAGTCAGGATGGTCATCTGTCTGAATGACTTGTAGTTACATACTTCGGTTTGCGAAACCGGATAGTATCATTAACCCTCATATCCAAGTATTTAATAAGTTAATTTAAATTTCAAATTATGACTACTAAAATAAATACAGAAGAGCGCTCCCTCCTATCTTCTCAGAGAGGTACTATTCCTCTTATTATAACTCCTGTTAAATTTCAAAAATTCCAAGATAGTGATTCAAGAACGTATCTACGAAAGTTGTTATCAGAAACTCTTCATTCAGAGAATTGTTGCAGTCTGTCTTCTGTACTGAATAACAAAAGAAATTCTCTTAACGTATCGTACCGGTCGCGCACGGCCTTTTCTTGGAAGGTTTTTAATGTGTTAGCTCCGTTCTTCAAAGGGCCTTACCGCCGGAGACGGAAATCCGTGAGGTAAGGTGAGGTGTGACATTTTTAGGGTCGACCTTTTCTAACCCCACCCCTCCTTGTGGGAAGGCAGGATCGCTGCAGATGCTGGTTGTCCGAGGGAAACACTTTACTGCTGTCACACCCGTCTACAGTTAGCAGTTCGACTTCGCCCTCAGACCTTGAGTTGCTGCTTTTAGTCTTACCGTTCTCCAATCGACCTGCCTGGCATGGTAGAACCTACAGGAACATATGTTCCAGCCAATATAGCTCAGTTGGGTCATCACGATAGGCAAGCCCGACCACCGCGTCTAGGTAGCAGCTTCGGTCGGGCACAATGTGGTAAACTTGATGAAACACTGTAAATAATCTCAGCAGCTTTATTTAGATCAACTTGATGTTTTTTGTCGACTAAATAAGCGAGAATATAACTTTTGATCATTCTTACTTGTACTTTACTCAACCAAGACGGATTGTGTTCTGCTATGCAATGATGGGCGAGATTATAATTTATGTATAGACCAATCAGATTTAGGGAATCAAGTCTTGGATGTTGGCGCGAAATTCACTTATTCAATTCTGTTTTGGCATTATGGCTAGTATCAGTTCGTAGTGAAAACAGTCAGTCAGTAACAACGTAGAACTTCGTGAAAACACTAACTCTAATTCCGCACTCTAACGTCCAACTCTATACCTAATCTTAATTCCTCTCTGGTTTATAACTACTTTAACCCTGGTAAGTAGGTGAATATCCCCAAGGTCATATTAACACCACTCAAAGGTCGTCTCACCTCGATGACTTCCTTGCCAAGTTGTACGCTCTGTATAACTTGCTCCAGAGGAGTATTTTGTTTGGTAAATACACATAAATGTGACGAATTCAGACAGTCTGTCTTTATTGTTGGTTTTCATCATCGGGCGTTTGTGGAAAACCACATTCAATGTTGGTTTAACGTTGATCGGTTCATGATCCCAATTAAACAATCAACAATCTCTCCAACCCTATACTGATAAAACCATACCCAGTTGGGCTGCAGCAAATGTTTTCTGCACCTCATTTCTTAGCCTTTCAGTTACTCCCTCAATAGTCATTTAGGAATTGTAATTTTGAGAACATTACTTTCGTCGGGACGGTAGTTACATTCAGTTTTCTTTTCATTTCATTCATGTGTTTGTTGATGAATTTCGTTGGAAATCCATTTCTACTAAGCAGATTACGAATATTACGCAATCTACATTGTTGTTATCAGAGCAAATCATTCTAGGACTATGGTACAACACTATAGAAATGAGTATATTGTTAAACTGCAATTTATTGAGAAGATGGGTATTTACACTTCACGTTCATCAATATATCAATCAAGAAATAATAAAAATTTCATCAAATAGATAAGTATAACTTGACATTTATTCTGTTGGTTTTAATACAATCATTGTTTTCTTCAAATTTTCCATATTTTTATTTATTGTATGATAGCTATGTTGCGTATTTTCAAACATAAATATTTGCCTAAATATTCTTCCAATTTATTTCAAAATTATGTCTTCAAACGAAATTACGTTTTAGAGTGTTATTTTTCTTCTACGCCGTAAACAACTTCAATTGGGTCTTAATTATATGGAAGCTGCATTAAAATCATTAACATCTGTCAACCAAACTAATGTTTCTTATTTTTCCAATGAAACAGTAGATAATGATTACAGTGAATCCTTATTGTATAATCAAATCCTGACTATTCTTCATGACGAGGTGCTTCATGTTTTATCGTCTCAGAATGATGAAAATGATAATTGGATATCGGCGTCTTCAGTGATTGAATCAATTTTTAGGATAGCTTGCATGATTAAGAAGCCGTAAGTATTTTTTCTACATAGTCTAGCAACAAATTGTGTACTAATTCAAAGACTGTGTTTTAGTCTTTGGGTTTTTGTTCCATGGGTTTGGAGCTCGTCAGTGAAGAAACGTAAAACCGAGCACAAACACCTATCTGTCCATGTTGCTACACTGCGTTAGCACAGTAAGACAAAATTGTTTAGACAAATACCGAAGTAGAAATATTAGTAATATCTTTCAATGCAAAAAGGATTAGGGGTAGAGAATAAGACAGGAAAGGAGAGAGTTAGTTCACGAAATAAAAGATTCGAATAATTTTCAAACTTGGGATCTAAGTGAAGATAAAAAGTGAATGCATCTGTGCTATTGAGATCAATCCTGAGCCTTGCAGCCGGACGTCTTGATACGTTGATCACGATAAATGCTCTGACTTCAATCGGATATTCAACACTTACCAACATGATTCAGAGCAACAAGCGATAAATTCATGGATTGATGGCACGTTTTGACCTGACCATCCCTATTTTCCTCTGTATCTACTAATGCTATGTCAGCCAAGATTGCAAGTTCAGGTAGGAGGGAGTTGTTGGTCATACCCACTTAATACTGTGAACAGTTTTCACATCATTCAGTGGAAGTCAGCAATGTCCACAACCCCTTACTGACAAAATTAAAAAAGATTGTTTTCAAGATATAAAAATTACCTTACTATAAAGTCATTTTTTAAAATATTATGAACTTTTCAATTAATATTATTAAATATGTTTAGTTCTTTTGTATTGATTAACCGCTACTGTGTTAAATGTGAAAATTGTACCGGGAGCTCACCTCTAAAAAGTTTTCGGGAAAATATTGTATGTTGTAGTGAACCGAGTCAGTACCAATCCATGCTGATTTGCTCTGGGTTGTTGCTTGATATTAGCATACCTCGTTCAATTATTTCTGCTTCCTGTTTTCTGCAAAAATTTACACTTAAAATAATCGACTACTGGATGATACCATTTATTTTGTTCTCTAGTTTTCCGTTTTACAGTGTGGTGGTTAAATTAACGACGATGCCGTTGTGCATCATTTTCGAAGTTGCGCTAAGTCAATCGAGACATCCTCGAAACTACCAAGTATTTTCAAAAATCAGTCTCTAATTAAGCTACTATCGAGATTCGTAACCTTTTCCAAGGACAATAATTCAGTATAGATTTAATTCATGCTTACTGAATCTTTACTTGGTACCTGACTGTAGTTTAGGTTTACACACCCCCTTAAACAGTCCAGTTAATCCAACATTATTTGAGATTATGATTAAACTTCTATTTCCCATTTTCAAATTTAAAAAATAACTACCGACGTAAATATAAAATGTTTTTAGTTAAAATGACTAGTAATGAATTTTCTTTATAGCAGTTCCTTTTTTGGATATTTCTTGTTTTTATTGCTCATTACTCTTTCTGGGGTTCAGTCTATGTATTTATCCATTGGTTACGTGTTTTTTTTAGTGAATTCATTTGGTTAGAGTTATATCCAGCTGTCCGAAATCTTCCCCAGTTAGCATCTGCTTTATTTAATGCTACATTTTCTATCTTGAAGTCATTGCCTCCGTTCGAACAATTACGTACAAACTGTTCTCAACCTCTACATGAAATTAATTCCAAGCAGGTTTTCATTCAACTCCCTCCTGATATGAGCAAAGAATTGATTGATTGGTGCTTACATGAAGATGATGCGTTAGAGGCAAACATAGATGATATGAACTCGACGTGCAGTTATAATTTAATTGATAGAAAAGTTAGAACAGAAATCTGTCTTCTTCGTTTACACCCATCATGCCTGGATCTAAACTATGTAAGTCAAAGTCTAGAAATCCTTCCCTAGATATCTTTATTACTTAATCGTTATCAAGCTAGTTCTACTTGTTTTTTGGATGGATTACGTTTTCGAGTATTGGTCCAAGTTATGAAGGGTGTTTTTAGATGGAAAAAATCTTGCCCTAAGCTTTTATTTAATTCTAAAACGTCCAGTCTTCAGAACATCTCATCTTCACCTATGAAACTTGTTTATTTAGCTAATAGTTATCTCATTTAGTTAAAACATCATGTAAATACTGCCATAATCGGTTGACACATGTTCAGATATTGTAGCCTTTTTTCACATATTGAAGTCAGCATCGAGTTCAGTAGGGGCATCATGCAAAATACTTTTTATAATCCCATTACCGTCTTGAAAACTGTAAGCTATTTATTGTGTAGCGTAATGTAGTTGTTTCAATAGTCAAGATGATGAATCAATTGAAACTAGACCACCATGGAAAACCTGAAAGCACTGGACGGCCGTTTCTTCCTAATGTGGGACCCCTCAGCGGTGCACATCCACGACCCCGCCTCACGGGATTTGAACCCACGACGTACCAGTCGTGGATGCGTACTGCTGAGGAGTCCCACATTAGGACGAAACGGCCGCCCAGTGCTTCCAGGTTTTCCATGGTGGTCTAGCTTCAATTGACTTATGATCTTAACTATTGCAGTTACTACAATCTCCACAAAACCCCTTCTGATACTAATGTAGTTATGTTTGTTTTTCGTCTATTGTATTATAAAGAAACCATAAAGTAATGAACACTAATTCCGTTATTCGCCATAATTTGACAATTTTTCTATTCGTTCGATTTCCCTAACACCATGCAAAAAGGTAAATTTTAACACCCTTATTTCAACAGCAAGATTTGAGTTTTTTAATTTTAACTTTTAAGTTTAGTTACTATGGTTGTAGGAAGTTGTAATATCACAAGGTGATCTCCCCGACTTTGCGTTACATCATATCTTAAAATAATTGAGTATATGCGATACTCTTGATATCTAGAACAAATCCTTTTAACTACCATAAATGAATATTCAAAGTTCCTCCATCCAGTATTACTGATAGTCATCCTTCCTTCATAAAAAAGGTAAAATAAATTTTCAAAACAATCAAATAAATTCACTCACTAGGCATTTGTGTACGAAAATCGCTAATACTACCCAGTAGTCCAAATTGTAGCAGGTAGGGCGGAGTTCGAACCAGGAACTTAGTGGATGAAATTCGAACGTTTTGACTAATCAGCCACCGCACTAATGTGAACGACGAAACCCACACTAATCACCAGCACAGCGCAAATAGAGAACTAAATGCATTCTTAAAAGTGAGTTTGTGATGTCTCTTGAATAATTTTTGGTAATCACAGTCATTGCATAAATACAGAGCTACTAACCTCTCTAGTTGAATTAAAGAATGTCTATTAAAAATGAAAGCGTGATATGAAACAGTATAAGAAAAACCTATAGAACTTCAAATTTTAAAGAAAGTCATTCAAAGTAATTCCAAATAGATGAGGATTTAAATCTCGACATGAAGGTAAGTTGATAAGGATTCCCAAAACTAGGATTTGTTTTTTTTAATGGAACTTATATTTAAGAAGTTGTATACCACCAAATAATTCAAAACATTTCCCTAAAATCTAATGCAATCAATTTTGCTCCTAAATGCATCTTTAACTTGTAGGTTTGCAATATTTCTGTAGACACAAATAGTTTGATTTTCAAGCCTTGGGTTTATTTTAGACTTATACATTGATTTTAATGGTTATGCTTGTGGAAGTCAGAAGTTATTGTTTACCACCTATGTTTTCACGTTATTATCCCATGGAATAAAAAGACAGATTGCAGCTGTAATTGTGGTACAACAAACGTAGTCGTTCGATAGTACTGATCCACTTTAATCAGTGACTTATGCAACATGTAATCAGATTCTACATGGCATTCTTTACTGATCACTAGTTAATAATTGGAACAATATCTATGAAACTCAAGACTTTACCAGGCAATCATAAATGAGCGATTCGAAAGCTGAAGTTAAAAACAGTCAGATATTTGTAGTATTCATTTAAACAAACCATGTGGAATTCAACTTGCCTTATGTTAGAAGTACAAGCAAGCAAGTGGCTAAACCATTAAAGCAAGACCGCAAATATTAAAAAGTTTTCGTTTCCCAAATATTTCTTGTATTTGTAAATATGTTGGTTTAAATTTCTAATCAAAATGTTGATAATCTGTAGATAAAATGAAAATTGTTGTGTTCAGATTTAACGTACTGAAGCCACAGTAAATGTTTACCACCATTTAACGAGTGCTTGTTGGTACTTTCGTTTCCTCAGTGAAATAACCGTACAATTACTTATTTTTCCCTTACGGGTTTTTGATAATTATTTTTATAGTTACATTCAGGCAAATAGCCTGTCTTATAAAGTAATAAAATGTTATACCTTTATCGTCTATTATCATTTGAGACAATTAATATCTTTGAATTAAACAGTAAGCAATAATAGAAAGGACTGTTCGTTATTCGTCATTTGTCAGTTACTTTCTTAATGAATTTACTATTGTACCACTTAGGACAATTATTTGGAATTCATTTCCTCTAAAAAATTTCCACTTATCAACGATGTCAGTGATTGGTACGCTGATAATTAGGTTACATTTGAAAATCTTATTTATATCATTAATTCTAACCGTATTGACCAGTTGAGTCAACATCAGTGTCTTTAAATACCTTTTTAAATAATTACACTTATCGTCGGGATTTCGACAGAAATAAAGTATATATGCAGTAAAATAAGTTCTATTTGTTGGGAGATGTTAAGCTTTTCAAAGTAACTGTCACTCATTCCGGTAAAAACCAAATTTCATCGTAGTTTTGTAGCAAATATCAAAGACTACGCATTCGAAGAAAAGCTTTATTGAAACTGTATTCTGATTATCGATAAAGTATTTAATTGTCGCCCCTGTCATTAGTATTGTATAATTTGCAAATAATCCACACATTTTTCATTGGATTTATGGTGTTGCGGTTCGCTTAAATCAATTAACCAGATCCAAGCAGTATTTAGACAGCACCGTGATGTAGTCACTCAACTTAATGACCGTATGGTAAACTTAGCTCTAAGGTCTCACCCAACATTAAACACGATACAAATTATTTGTTGCAACCCAGTAACTGGTTATTTTGAAATATGTGATTAGTATCTCCGAAATTCTTTATTTCTTTCATTAAACTAACGTCACTGTAATCTGGTAGTTAATTTTACATACATGTTTTGACCAGTTTTTTAAAAAATCTATTTAACAGGCTGTTAAGTTGTGCTGGACCAATAGTCTGTTCGATGCCTACTTACATCTGTACACAGATATTTTAATGGATTTCGAAACGCCTTTCAACGATCTCATACAATACCTGACCAGTAGTTTGAACGATTCCAATGAAAAAACAGGTATTGTGTGTACTTTTCTATTGCTTTCGTTCTTTTTCACTTTAAGGCCGCAAAAGGTGGCCATTAGGAGTAGAAGACACTCGTAAGTTACTTGTATTCAGTCACAAATGTCTTGGAAATATTGCTTGTATCTGCTGCGATCACTGGGTAAGTAATAGTGAGGTTAGACAAATGGTATTACGAAATGACGGTAAATCAATTGATGAGGTTGTGAATCTTCATCTGCTGAGATAGTTGGGCCACGTGTTACGTATGCCTGAACATCAATCACCACTTCGCGCAATGCTGACTAGTGTTGGTGATGGTTGGAAGAAAGTTAGGAGCAGGGAAACCAAAACGTGGCATCAGTGCTTGAAGTCAGTAACTTCTGATCTGAGCCATGTTGGTAGATGCAGACTACTTAGTTGGGTCCCGCGCGACTAAATATTACAAAGTTACCAGTGTTGGTTATCCTGTATTATTCAGAAGCCGTATTCCAATTTTATGATGAATAATGATAAAATCTAGTCTTTTCAGCATCCTTTATTTTTAAACTACTGTTGGTATTATTAACTCCAACATTGTACATTTATCACAGTGCGCCGATATGAAATGTAGCAACGTGGACTAATACAAATTTCCTATAGGTCTTTATGTTAATCCATTTATTTGTAAATTTCAGTCACTTCTTCGATTCATGATACAAAACAGTTTAGTATTTTTTATGATATTGGTTTTAAGACATGAGTTTTTGCCATGTTGTACTACTTTGTATTCTTTGCGTTTGTATTTCGGTGTCGTCATTCGCACAGGTATATATACTACGGTTTTCACTATGTGTGTTATTATATGATGAAAACCACAACTAAACAAGATGACAGTTTTCATAAACATCTAAAATTTTCATAATACCCTTGCTGTTTCAACTTGAATATATTTACCACATATAAACACAGACTTTCGAAAAATTGACATAAAACCCCAGACCAAAAGCGTATCGATACATCTAAACTGGATGAAAGTAGGTAAAGTATAACAACGTTAAAAGTCACAAGAACCACATGAACGAAAATTTATAAAAAATAAAGGGTATCAAGTGAAGTAGTTTTTTGGAGTTTATTCTGAAGGTGATCACAAATTGATATTATTTGGAACAATAAGCATTTATTTTGTCTTAGTTTCGGAATTCTAGACAATACACTTATGACCCGACCCATGATCTTCATATCTCCATGGTAAGGACAACATTATGTTGCCGGTAAAGGCGGAATTCATATATCTTCATATTCATTTTCACTTTGTTTTCAAGATATTGCAAAGATTATCCTATGCTGTCAGTGAGTGAATCATCTCACTCCTAACCTACTTGATTCTATAATTCCCAACTTCATATGAAAATACTTTCGAAGATTGATGTAGAGTGATTGGATGCTTAAAGTTTATGAGCTGATATGTAATACACGCATTCATATTGTATGACTTATCTTAAACGATATCATCTAGAATCTGCAAAGTACACAATCATTTAATTAAAATTGTTTGGTTCACTTCCTCTATCGCAATTTTATTTATACGTTTTATTTCTCCCATATCGTAAAATTCATCATATCACCTTTATGACATGTGTGTTTTCATTAGATCGTTTGAAGTTTATGCTGTTCTTTTTTCATTCTATTATTTGATTTTTCTCAATGCTGTTCGATAATATAGAGAAATATGATCGTAACAGAGTAGAAAAATGTGGACATTGTTTACTGGTCTTACTTCGTTCAGCATTTGCAGGCGAATCATTCTGTCATCAACGTTTACCCTCACCACTGCATCAAGATATTCCCTTAAAGGTTAAGTTTAATTTACTTCTAAAATCTTACGTTGTTGTCTAATCTACGTTAAATCAAGTTGTGTTTTTGGGATCCTCTTTTACGTTATTAATAGTTGTATTTAGAAAATATTGACGAAATTTAAGGGAACATTTGTGTCATATTTTCACTCGAAAAAGTGACATTCGAATTAGCGTTTTGTTGCTTTACAATCGAAACCAGGAGGCACAAATATTAACCAGGTTTCAGATAAGCGACTCTTGTCCAACTTTATCATACAGATTATTTGATATGCTTGCATTGAATGGTTGATAAAAATTTAATATAGTTATCAGTTGGGACGCATAAATGTTAGTAGAGCCTTTGTAACCTGCTATTAGGACTATAACTGACATACAGGTTTCGCTTTAAACTGATCTGTTATCCTCTATCTGATTACCCTATAATAATCCGTTTTTGTTCAACTATTTTGTCCTTCGTATTACTAACTTACTCGTGTGTACTACCTCTAGGTTTTTAACCTTATGCTCAGTGAATCTTTCCTAAACGTAAAATGTCCACTCAGGTTTTTAAAAAATGTTAAGTATCCTGTCTTGCACCTGCTCCTGAAATACAACACAATAGACTTTCTCAATTTACTCACTTTATCAGCTTCGGATGAATTTTTTGCCAAAGGACAGTTGGGGTAAGCATTCTCCATTGTATTTTTTTAAATATATTTTGAGATAAACGCTATTGATTATGCCTATTTGGTTTTCAGTAAATAGGCAACAGTGACTAAGTGCTTAAACTATATATCTGGAGGTTAAACGTTCAAACTCATTTTGATTTAAGCAGCTAAGTGAGTAATATCACTAGCCGTATTAATACATGTAGAGTTTAGCTGAGTGCATTAATCTATGGTTCGTTTTGGAATCACATCATTAATATAAATTGTGGTAGTAAGTCATATCAATCATTAGAGGGGATCATTTCTATTATAATCTGTTTTAGATAATTAAAATAACCCATAGTGTCATTGGATAAGAAAAAGAGAACTCAGCGATGAGAATTTTTTTTGACGAAATCATTTACTTAAGCTGTACATTCGTGTATATATAGTTATATGGAAAATACATGTCTATAGGAGGATAGAGAACATTGCATCACAAAAATGGATTCGAGACTTATTATTAAATGAGGTTACGTACTAATCAAGGGGTAAGGAAGAAAATCGTTTATGGGTCAGATAATAGTCCAATTGACAAATATTGAAGAAAAACGACAAACACAAAAGTCATAATAATAGACTGAATAATAATCAAGAAAACTTGTATGAGGTAACAATAATAATAATAAGAAGAAGAATAACTGATTAGAGTTTAAAATTGCAAAGTAATAATTAAAAAAATTCAATAATGATCAGATGAAAGTGCAGAAAAAAATACCAAGAAACATACCCATTCAGGGAATTAGGGCCAAGGAAGGATGAGAGGTTGGACAAATCGTTTCTGCACGCAAAGTTCGGGCTTGAGTTGGTGAATTGCCAATGCCTCAGCAGTGCAAAGAATATTGATTCGACACCCGTTCGATCCTTTTCCTTTGACTCTGTAGATCACTTTAAAAAAGAATGTTATAACTGTGAAAAATGCTGCGGATTAAGAGGTAGCGAATTACTGATCGGACCAAAGACGCATAAACACGTAGAACGGCCTAGGGTTCTGATTGGTCCCGCTTCCCTGTCTAACCCAGCCAGTTGAGTCCAGAACACAAGTCACAGCCTCGGATATATGAATCATTATATTTCAAACATACTTTGTTTATATACCAGTTAAGCAGACCACAACGTACCACAAAATAGAAAATAACATTGTACGATATTGGCCAACAGGAAAATAACACGTTAAATAAATATTGACCAATAAGACGATACCATTTCATGTCCAAGGATAGCATTAGGCTTAATAGGATAATTTTTGGGATATTTTCCTGAATATCCCAACACCTCCTTTTTTTGGAGATCCGGAGTTGATGTCCGGATTTTAAATTTTTCTCGCGTCTATCCTCCCCCTCGAAATAATGTTGGGTCCTCATATACCCAAGTAACAGTTAGTGTGACTCTATTTAAAGCATATTTCCCGCATTGAGTAGAGAGTCCACTAGAGCTGACTAGATGGTGAGGATCAGCGACAGTAGATATGAGGTCATTAGGGTTTGATTCTTGTGAAACATTTCCATCAGATCTCTTCAAAATTCCATTAGTGGATAATAGGTCACTAAAATAAACAGCATCTATCAAAATTGTATTAGATTTCTGACCATTATTTGATGTATGGGACACATTTTCTGGCAAAACAAGAGGATCTTTTCGTGAGCTGGATATGCTACTGTCTGCACATGCTGTTTCGGGGATGATGGAGTTTGACTCCATTACCGGGCATGTTTCTGGAATATAAAGTAATCGATCGGAAGGGAGAGTCATTTTTTCGAATCAGCACCTGTGATGAAAATTACTGTATGAATAATGACCAATGTCGTTGAAGGACAGTGACGACAATCTGGATGCTGATTGGTTGAATAATTAGACTGGATTTCGTCCAATTACAGAATGACTTTGGATTGTTTTTTTTTCTTCACCCCGTCGCCAATTGTTATGGCTTTAATTTGGGTCGATTTTTACCCTGTGCTAATTGTTGTGCCCTTGACTGGAAAAATTAGAGAGCAGCCTATTTATCGATCGATTACAGTGATATGTCCATAGTTGATTAAATGCTCCTGTATAGAACTAGTGATTGTCTTACATTCTCCTTTTACAAGCCGAGCCGGATAGTGTTCTGAGGTGTGTTTGGAAGGTGGTCGCTTTGTTCGGCCTATATAACGAGCCCCACATAAGCATGTAAATTTATAAATACACATTGATGTGGCCCAAAGCGAAAGTTTATCTTTAACACATCCAGGAATATTAGGCCGGCTTGAGAAAACAGTTCAAAGCTTGGCTGTGTAGAAAGTTATATTCAATGATTTTGAAATCCGTTTATTTAAGATTTCAGTAGCCGTGTCTCCTTACATATTTATGAACAGGGTTTTCTTTTGTACTGTCGATACTTTCTCATGATGAATTTTAGGTGTTAAGTTACTATCGAAGAATCTAGGTGGATAACCGTTTCTGATGAAAGTTTGTCGAAGTTGAATTAGTTCCTCATCTATTGTGTCAGTGGAACAGATTCGCTTGATCCTAGAGGATAAAGAGTGAATTAAGTTCCTCTTTCTACTCAATGGGACCCAACTATGGAAATTAGTGTACTGCCCATTCCAACTAGGTTTTTTGTATATGGATCGCTGTAAAAAACCTTCGGGCATTCTTTTTAATCGGACATCAAGAAAGTAGAATTCATTATTTACCTCTGCTTCTAAGGTAAATTGAATTGAGCGGTGACAATTATTGAAATCCAAGTAACCTTAAGGATTAACACAAATGTTTCTGCCCAATATTGCTCATGATTAATTAATTATTAGTATGTGGATTGTTGTCATGAATTTTTTTTAGCTTCCTACGATGTATTTAACCAGTTATCATTATTTTTATATGATTCTTACAATAGCCAATCAAGATGTCAACAGCTTTACTACTGTCTTATTCTAACATCACTTTCACCATCATCGTCATCACCTATATTCAATAAAGATTCTCAGTCCGACTCTGTGTATCAAACAAAAGAATTGGAAGAATCTAATTGCCAACTTTTGGCGTATGATGTATCTATTCCTTGCCGTGTATTTATCTTCATTATAAGTCAGTTTAGCGTGGTTCATAGTAAAGAAGTCGAAATTGATCATAATCTTATTTATCAGGTGTGTGTTTGTTTACTCTATGTTGCGTTTTGCCTCTATTTCTAATAATACTTGACATGAAGTAATATCAAGTTGCTTAACTTAGGAAATCTCTTGTCTTTATTGTGATTAACAGTTTCCGAACACTTGGTGAAGCAGCACAAATAGACTAACCGTATTTTCTCTTAATTATATTCAGAAATCAAGTAAATATATCTCATACTGATTAGCATTTAACAGTTATAAGAAATTACCAGTTATAGGAAACTTATGCTCTATCTCAGATACTAATGTCCACCTTTCAACAGCCTTTTTATAACTGTTGCCTAAAATCGAAATCTAGCTTTTTTATTATGTAAATTTAATAAAAAGCTCGGGTGATCTAACTTCCTCACAATATAACTTTCCACTGGTAATTGAATTTCTATCTATTGTGAAAGTTTTCAACATCTAAAATATGAGTTTCACTAAGAACAAATCCTTTTACCATGCTCTTACACATTCAGCGATACGAATACGCTAAGACTTATATCACAGTGCCATATCTGGAATTTCTACTTTATTGTTATTTGGGGGATTTCTTTAGAATGGTAAATATGAAAATAAATTTTTAAACTAGAGTACTATTATTAATTTATTATGACTGACCATTTCGACTGCCTCAATCAGGTAAACAGCTTCTGGTCATATTTGAAAAAAATCTGAATGAAAAAGTGGTTGTAGGTTAGATCAGTCAAAACTATTTTCGATAATGCATCGTGATTCACTTTTTATGCGTTTGTCCTCGAGAAGTAGACATGTGTTTTCACTCTACGCGTTAGTTTTCTATACTTTCTAAAGTACAGTTATTCGAATCGGCGTAACGTTGTACTATTCTATGCCCTATTCTTGTTAACCACACTATCGACATATGTTTCAACACATTCTTTTTCATTGTTATATCATAGTTTGTGTTTTTTTCCTCTGTAATGACCTAATAGACAATTATAATAATCCAAGTTGTTTCCTATGAAAACTGATGTCTGTCAAATGGAAGTATGTCAATCTCTACAACAATTACTGGACTAATTTTGTAGAGAATTTCAATCGTCTGTTGCATTATTTTTATTTAACTGTTGAAATCCAGCTACCTCGCTTTTCTTATAACTTTCTCAGATATGTTGTATCTTGCGACCAATATAAAATAAACAAGTGGATAAAATTTTAGATGGGTAAAACAAAATAGTACCTACTTCAGAAGTCTTTTTTCGTTTAGCAGGTCACTAGTGATCTGGCTTTATTCACTAAAGATCAAGCATTATTCTTTGATGAGTGTGTTTTGTTAGTCGATGAGAATTGGAAACAAATGAAGGAAATTCGTATGTAATATAATCTAGTTTTCATATTTTAGAAAATAAAAATAGTCACTTTACTTATACATCAGTCTATTTATGATATCTACATTTGTATCTGTTAAATGGCTTCCGGTGTTGCTCCTTATCATAAGTATAGTCCGCACCTCATTGTCATTACAGTTTTATCTGTGGTGAATTTCGCATTTCGTTTTATTTGTTTGTGTTACTAGCTATTCAAAGGTATTTGCGATTCAAATGATCAATTGTGTAGAAGTCTTCTGTCAGAATTCGAATTGGCTGTGATTGAATCAATAGAATCAGGCCTATTAAAACATCTAGAACAATGTGCTACCTTGAGTTCTGAAAAAGGATTGTAAGTTCACTTTTTACTGTATCACGTGAATTACTCACTTTGGTGTTCTTTTAGAAAGTGCTAATATAATTATATTAAACTTTTTAAACTAGTGCATTGGTCCTGTTTTCTTGCATTCACAGCTGTATGAAAAATTAAAACACAGGAATTTAAAAAAGAACAGCTAAGCACATTTGCGATCTAAAAAGAACTACTGATCAGTTCTAATTGCACAAAATATAAGTTTGTATCTTCTTAATACTCACCTCCTATTATTTCATCTGCCAATAAGTCGTTAAAAACTAAACACGATAAACCTCGATTATTTTCATAAATTTAATTGTGTAGAATTTCTATCCAACAGCCATTCGTAGCACTAGTTCTGAACACTGAGAAATAATTAAACATTTTCTTGTGAAAATTTATGGTGATTTCCATATAATATATTTGAAAATCTATACTCAAATTAGTTCTTCGTATTGCTCAGTTATTGAATGACATATGGTACTCTATTTATACTTACTATCTTCGTAAAATACATTTTCTTACCTTTCCACAAATAACTGATGAAGTGGATTTCGCGCCTACTCGTGAAATCGATTGTGTGTATGTCTTTTGTAAGTAGTCCAGTTTACCATTTTCATACAATCCAGATATACTTCCATCATGTAATTGAGTCGAAATCAGTTCAGTTACACTGGTAGATTCAATGAATTGACAACTCACTACCGAATTATATTTTTGCTGATCTAAACATGTACATCTAATTATATTAAGACTAGTAAATATAAAGCTAATAATTCTAGCCAGTTATAGTTTAAAAAACAAACAACAGTCAAAGTGATGAGATTTAACCACAATACTCACAAAAGGAAATCGACTCTACCAATACCCCTAATTTTATATCAATCATCTTGTAAACACTGTAGAATAACTTCTCATTTTTATTCCGTCTCTATTTTTTCCTAATGATGACTACGAATAGTTGAGTCTATTCCAAAATTATTTTCTAATTATCCGATTTAACTAATTTTGATATTTTAAGTTGGTGTGTTACATAATTGTGAAATTTCTTATGTTCATTGAATTTGTTCCTGTTTGCGTATGTCTATTACTTGGACAATACATATGTAATTAAATAAACAATTAAACTATTCATTTCATTTTTTTTTGCAAAATTTACTTCCGTATCATCTTTATTCATAAAAATTAAAGATTACATATTGTATTTATCGTTTTTTGTTTGAAAATAATCGTTGTAGATATAAAGTGTGTGAGTACATTCATCAAACATGTGGCAATAAACTTCTTGTTTTAAAGTATCAAATGCTGTTATTAAAACGAATTATACTCGCTAAAGTTAGTAATAACTCCACGTATACATCAATTCATTCAGATCATAATGCAGTGAAATTAGCTAGTTGCATTTTTCAATGTTTGGAGCATAATATTAATCGTATTAACAAAAAATTTCTAGTCGATGACGAAAATTATGATAATCTAAAATTGATTTGTTTCGAACAGGCCGAGGTAATTCTTTTCGTTAATGAATACTGTGAATTCCATATTTTATGTATTTTAATAAAACGTAACTAAAGTTAGATAAGATGAATTCTGCAATTTATATAATCGGAATCAAACCATATTGATAGTTAATTTTCTGAGGAATAATGTTGTAAGCCGGGAAATAGATGCAGTATCCTTCAATTGAGTGGCTGCTAATTTTGTAAAAACTAATTAATTCGACCCTTTATTCATTAGGAACAAATTTGTCACACTGCAATTTAACTTGAACGTGTACATGCGCTTACGAATTGTGAATTCGTTACTAAGATCAAATAGTCTCGAAATATGGTTCTATTGTCTTCGTTCACAATCAGCGAATTATAAATTCTACATGTACATGTACTTAAAATAGCTACGAATCGTTCCTTTAGAAAAGGGATTTAGAAGTCGCTTGATTCAGCATATTTTTTGGAACAATTATTTCAATATTATCGATGTTTTCTAAGTCAATCGGATTCTTTGACTTGGTGATCTTAACTGTATTATAAAATATGATTTTTGACAATGATTTCGTAAGCAGTATGAATCTACATTAAAGTATCAGAATGTCATTCGGTTTCTACAGTTCTTCCGCTTTTCGTATAATGACCCTTAACTGAATGAGTTCTGCATTCTGATTTACGTAGGTACTTGCTGACTGGGACGAAGAACGTACATTAAAAGTCTTATATGGCCTAACAAATGCATCAATATCAGAAATGCTTGAGTTAGTCAATTCATACGTCAAGGAAAAAACATCTAATCAGCATACAACTTATTTAATTTTACGGGCGTTTTTCAAGTGTCGGTAAGTAACTATTTATAACATTTCACGAGTAATACAAATTTGACAATCTAGTGCATAATATTATTTAGTTATTTTTCCACTCAAGAAACTAGGAAGTTTTTGTTATAATAATACCTTATGCCTAGATATTGCTATCACTGTGTAAATTGAGGTCGGTATGTAATAAAAAGACATCAAACAAGAGGAATGGATAGTGAATAAAATTACTCCCCCCCCAATACCTTGCTGAGACATTGGACTATCAAAATATAACGATAATACTATGAATATGAAGAACCATTATCGAACATAATTTCAGCTGCTTACTTATACCTAATTCAAGCAAAAGTTAGTGTAAGTATAATTTAAGTTCTTGAATCATTTCCACTTTGACATATTCTCTATCATCACTGAATTGCGTATTTTTGTCATTCTTAGAAGCTGACTTATGACAAACTTCCCTTATAATTGTTTTCACAATCATATCATAGAATAAATTCAACGAAATCTACAACTATTCCGCTTCGTATTTTGCACACCTTATGTTTCATTGAGAATTATTTTATTGATTCAATATTAGATAGAATGTTAAGAAACCTTAATTTCCTCATAATCCTAATCCTACAGTTCTCTATAAAACAGCACTTGTTAACTACATAACGAAATGCCTGAAACAGCGTTTTTTCTTCAGAAATTAAATGCTGAAACGGTGATTGTAGTATATATCCAGCAGTAATTTGGGTCACTAATGATTAACAATTCAATTAGCACACAGTATCCAGTTTTTTTCTATCTGTCATTACAAATAAATTTACAATTAATTTATTCATAATTGATTCCGTTTTCCATAATATATTCGTATTTAGTATTTATCTGAATGATTCATATCGGGCTTTGTTATAGCTTATGGCAATAATATCATATTTTAAATATTTAGCACTGCAACGATACAATTGTAAACAAGTAGCTTTTGTCAACTTTACATTATGTTACCAAACAAACGTCTCTCTGTATTCTTCACATGAATTAAACAAGATGACTTGTTTTCCTCATGATGTCTATGTGAAAAGCTATGTTTCAAGCATTCAACTACTCTCTTGTAATTACAAACACTATCCCATATACATACATTAGGTATGATTCAATACTGAATATTAGTTTAATGCATATTTACTGATTTGTACTTTTCTTGTTTTACTACACTCACTAAATTACTTCGATAAATCTCCTATTGACTGTGAACGATGTAAATTTAAATACTATTTATGTATTTTAAATATTATAATGCTCATGTTACCATAACAGAGTTTAATCTTTTGATTATACTTGTAAATTTAAACAGCTCATTTTCTTTTATGCTGCAGATTCTTTGAATTCAGTTGTTCAATATTTGGTTGGGTTTCTCAAGATTTGATCTATAGTTACATCTGTTTCCTTGTTTTATATAACAGTTCTTTAGAGATGATTAGTTTATTTTTAAAAATAATTTGCCTTTGTTCATTTTTATTCCTTCAAATACTTAATGTAACTTATAAACTAAATAAGAGATACATGTACTTCAACTAAGCTAACTGTTTGTGGATTACGAAATATCAGTGTAAAATGTCGTTAAATCCTGCCATCTAGTGCACCAAATTTAATTATTGTATCCTTAGAGTCATTTCTTCAATCAATTTTTATCCTTACTGGTAATATATATATATATATATGACAATGCAAATTTGACACAGATTTCAAGTTGTGTAAAACTAACTGAGCCGTATGTTGTTCGTACGAGTTGGAAACATTCTTATTCATTTCAGTGTACTGAATAACTTGGGTACAATCATCTCGATTAAATATAATATAATCTCTCATTGAAAGCTAATTAATTGAATACGGTTTTGCATGCATAACTTGATTTTAGGTTATATATTTAATGATGTGAATTCTTTTCGTAACGTCTGTCTTATATGTCAACTACTTGTCGAAATATTTTAGAAAGGTTATTTATAATCATCATCAAACGACTAATTCTGAAGAATGTACGCCTGATGATTCAGATGATGAAACAACTTCAACCACCAAAAACTGGAAACAGTTCCTTCAGAACTATGATACCAAAATAACAGAATTATTTATTTATTTGCTAGTTAATTTTGAGCTTCCATCTTCTGGTGAATTGTTAACCTTCTTAGAATCATACAATGACTATGCTATTGAACACGTACTGAAGGTATGCTTGTCTGACAATTGATTATTTTTAATCAGAATATTAATTCATTTTTGTTTCCTTCGTGAATTTTATTGTATCCCAAAAAAGGAAATAAAGCATTTTTGGTATGTTAGGTTTCTAACTGTCATATTGTTCAGAAAATTCCGTTTAAACTTGCATTTTCTCATCTGATCAGAAACAATTGGAAAGTGGATATTATGATTTCTAGTATTTATTTTATATGATTCTATTAAGTTTCCCCTCATAAATTCATTTCAATCGATTATCATTTGACGAGACCTTATCAAGATTATGTGTTTCAAAAGCATTATGACCGCTTCAATAAAGTGAATCCCTCATACCTAGTAGGAAGAAGAAACCCGATTGGCCATCAAGTAATTTATAATATTAACTTATTATCCATATCTCAAATACTACAGTAGTAATGGTACAAAAGGCTGTAGCCTGTGAAGAAAAGCTGGATTGTGTCTCAACCTTTTAAGCAGTTCCTTAACTAGTGTTGTTAACCCATCATCGGCTTCATTTTTATCGTTGGTGTTTCTATTTTAACTCGTATCATGATTTCACTTATATAAGTGTTCCTTACCATGGAATTTGACGGTTGGCATGGAGCACGTCGACATCATAGTCTTTTTGGTAAGGATGCGGACAAAATTCAAAATCGTTTGAACACCATGATTGTCAGTATATGTTTTTCATATGTTACCAACTCCCTAAATTCAAAAATGCTTTAGGATTGAGCTACTTCGTTGATTAATTTGACGATGATGATGGAAGTATTGGGCGAGTTGGACACCTCACTTATATTTGTAGTTTCATCAGTTCTGATGGCTTGATATATAGTTTAAAAGATTTCAACGCATTTAAGTAAAACTCGTTTGGCTTTTAGTATTATTATTATTATTTCAACACATAAATATCGGTACAAGAGGGCACCAAATATATATGCGCCACACCATATTTGTGTGTGTGGGCTGTGATACTACCCGGGTGCCCAGACCGAAGCAGGTGGTTTTCTTAGGGGACCACTCCCCGAGCCTTTGACCTAAAGGTCTAATCCACAAGGGAATGGAACATCGTGAGGAGATGCATACCCATTGTAGCCGGTGACCAGCGATTGGTTCATACGCCATTTGTTCCCTCAGGATACTGGAGCCCATGTGCACCATTGGTTTGGGATCCGGTTAAAGCGCCGGACATTCGCTTTTCGTCCTCCCATTTTCGTAAACAACACCCCCGCCACGAGAAGGCAATGAGTAGGACTTCCCTGGCAGAGGCTGTATACGCGTGGCCGTGTGGCTTTTAGAAACTGAACTTGAGTGAAAACTTCATTTCGGTGATCATGTTTCACAGCAGTCTTTCGTGTAACAATTTAAAATATAGTCAAACCTTTGACTAATCGTTCCAGATGTTAGTTGTAAGTAGTAGTGTAATTGTGGGGAATCAGTTGATGAATTTATGGTTTGTCTCTTCCTACCTCAGTATTCTCTGCTTGATAGCGTTGTAATAAATTGACTAAAACTTACCAGTCGAATTAAATACATGAAATCGGTCGATGTGGTCCTTGACCCTTACTATTGTCTAGCCATGTGCAAACTTTCTTCCTAATTCCCGTGAGAAAGTCGTCTCATTGACGCTACTCTATTTTTGCATTCATCTAGGTCTTGAGGATTGTTCGAACGTATGTTTGTCATCCTTCTTCTTTTACATCTTTCACTTTATTGTTAGCTTCATTGTTTTCGTTAGTTTTACGTTCATCCTGTTGATTTCTCGTCACTGTACTAACGTGAGGTATGGCAAATCAGACGTAGTTCCACTTATGCTATGTTCTGTCTTGTCTTCAGTAAATGAAATGTATGTAATCCTGTTGTGTAAACTTTGGTTTTTCAGGTTTTATCGGTAGAAAAGTACCCGATAGAGGTTGCTTATCTATATGAAAAGTCTGGAGATTTATCCAAAGCTACAGAGTTGTATGAACAGGTTTGATTTCGGTTCTTTATACTCACTATATATACTTATACTTATATATTTATTTATATTTTCTTCATCGTTAACAATTGACAGATATAAGCATATATTAGCTGTTTCAGCATATCTGTTTGCTGAGCACACCACGTAAATTCTTCTTGCATCGGTAGTCGCGTAAGTTCATAATAAACTCTAAGTGTTCATGATCTCTCAGGGGCTAGTATTAAGCACCATCCTATAACGCTTGATACTTTCAGTCAACTATGTGACAATCTTCGTTCTATAGTGGTATAACATATATTGATATTTTCGTTATCGAAGCTGGCTCGGTGAGTACATGGGTTTATGCAATGGTTTACAGATACACTCTGTTTAAGGCTAATGACCTTGAATCATCTGATGCGTAAGCTGAAGTTTCCTTAGGTTTACAAACCTAAATTTCGTCCAAAGATAAGCACAAAATAATGCAATCTAGATAGTTTGATTATGTAAAGAAACCCACCATCCGTTTATTCTTCAACTACGTTAAATTTTACAATAGCCTGTCAATCTACATTCGATACTAATGATCAATAAATTTGTCGTATATTAGACCTATAGATGTACCTATTAAACAGTTATGGAAGGGGCAATTAATAGTAAATACTGCGTTCGAAACCGATTTTATTACGGCATTATCAAATCACAGTAAGCTGTTTATTAGCGTAACAACTATTAAGTTCTACTAGCAATAAAGTACTGTTATCATATTTAAACTGAAAAAGCTCTGTCATCCTTCACTTATTTTTTAGATATTTTCTGAAACGTGGCAAAAACTAATAAAAGAGGAGTGTAAGCTTCGAAAAACCTCTGTAGATTTTACTTCTGTCAGCCTTCATAACTCGGGTGACCAATCGGCAACTATCATCAACTCTGTGTTACAAAAACTATATGATAATGTTCATCAAGCGAATCAACGTCTTGTAAATTTCTGCCAGCGAAGATGTGCACAAACTAACGATCAGTCAGAAATCGAAGTGAGTTTAGATGTGTTTTCATGATATTTATGCTAAAACAAATGCATTTCATTTGAGGGTCTGTAATAATCTTCAGCTGTTCTAATCTTACAGAATTTAAATCATCTGAATTGTTATTAGAAAGAATTCCTAACTGATTGAGCTACTTTTTTACAAAATGACCACGCACTCATAGGATACAGCCTTCAGTGAACATAGCACCACCTCGTCGCTGTTAATTAAAGTAGTAACGTGAAATTCAGGATGATAGACCATATCCCGTGCACTGATTTTAATTGCTTATGTTAGTTTAAAACATTATTTATGAGTTGTTGTTTTTTTTGCAATCTGTTCTAGTGCATTTCTTTTTCAGTTTACCATTATAAATCACCCTCACTTATCATGACTCTTCGTACAGGGTTACCAAAATCATTTTTAAGTTAAATGTGTAGGAGCTGTTGAAGTTCTAACTAGTATGACTTTTCTCAGTACATGGGACATAATATATGCTAAGAAAACTGAAACTACCTTTCACACTGGATGCGGGATGGTACTTTCTTATTGGTGATTATATGTTCATTAACTACATGCTGATGTCTTCATTATAACATTGACTTGGTTCATAATGACAATGAGGGTTTGAGATTAGACTATCTGACTTCCAAACCAACATCGTACAAACTATACACAATTTATAAGTCTTTTCATCTCTTAAAAACTCGCCAAGCCCCAAATCATTTCGAATTATCATTTAATTTCATTGTTCAGTAATTTTTCTTGTTTTTCCTTTTATAGGGTATATGGTTTAGTGTAATTGATTTACTAATGAAATGTGAATTCGTACAAAATCATCCCGTGCTAAACGCCCAGTTGAGTAATATATTCTATAATTCTTTCTCATTAGTCATGACTTACTTGCCGCCAACTGTGATCGTTTCGCACATCTTGGACGTAAGTAAACATTTTATTAGATATCTTGCTTTTATATCGTACAGCCCGATAGTATAAAAACATATCGTAGAATTTCTCTCTTTGGTTAAAATCATCTTTCACCGTTATTTTTGTTCATAATTGGTTTATATCTTAAGCGTTATTTTACGCTCGTACATCCTTTCTGTCTTCAGCAACATAATTTAGTGGTTAGTTACAGTTTATGGTGTGTAGAGTGACATTATTTCATGCTGACTTTAATTTCGAGCCCGTCTAAACAGATTTTCTGCGATCAGTAGGCAACAAGATTGTGTAAATGTAGTTAGAATAGTATATTTTAAGGAATAAATATTATGACATTAACTAAATCTGATTGATAGTAAACGTGAAACTCAAATCAAACAGAATATCGTACACACTATAATTGACCTACTCCTGCATATCTTTCTTAGATTTCGAGTTGAATGATTTCATTAATGCTAAATGTTTTATTCATCTATTAAAGATATATTTCATTGAATTTAGTCTTTAACATTTCATTCTTACATGATTTAGTATCTGTTCGATGGTTGAAGCAGAAAATTCTCTCGGAATAGTTTGTACTCTCTAAGATGGATACCTCTGAATACAAAATTTGATATTAATAATAATCGAAAATGAGAATTACTCTCATACATGTAGGATTTTTCAAAAGCGTTTCTTCTTGTTCATCCTGATCTTGAGTTCTAGTTTGAACAGTCTGTAAGGCATGTTTTTGTTTCATATTTTTACTTGAAGCTCCGAACAAAAGGTTTTATTAAATGTTACATTCTTTTACCTTAATTGAGAATCCTAATTTCGTCTGTTCACATTACACTGACTGATCTAATAATCAGTAGTAAATGACCATTTCTAAAAAAACATATGAGAAATGCTTGTTTCATGTACGTATTTTATCCCGTATTTTTAGATTAATGGGACAGAAATTACAGTAAACTCCAAAATTAATTTATTGGTGAAGAAGTTTATATCAGCCTGTCAATTCGAGGCAAATCAGATGGTAATTAACAAACAATTAGCAGGAAAAGAGTTAACTTCCAAGCAACTTCGAACATTTAAAGAGTACAATTGTGGTTTTAGTAATCGAAGCCTTATTTGCTCTACATGTGGATTAGACCTTCGAATAAACAATTTACTGACTAGACGAGAATGGGAAGCAAAACGTATGATGAGTAATGATGACAAAGCTTTGAGTGCTAAACGTGTAATAGTATTTCAGTAAGTTGATATTCGGTCTTTTGCCGTACACACTACATACATTTACTTCTTATGATACAAGTTTTGTGCTATCTGCTAACAGACAAACGAACAGTTAAATCACACACGTCGTTATAGCTTTTTTAAAATTTATATTGATCGGGAGGCACGTAATGAATTCGTTGAGTTTGTCAGTATGTCGAATAAAGGCTGTGTTGAATCATTGTAATCAGTCAGCTACAACGTAGGACCAGGCACATATGTGCAGCGGTCCAAGTTGACATACCTCATTAGCATAACAAGATGAACACCGCATTCATAGAAGTAGGTAATTCAGTGGTGGTGTCTAGTGCCTCTTTAGCTTCAGTTTGACCTTAGCAGTCACAATCAGATGGTGATCTAAAGCTGTTAGCTCCTGGTTCTCACATCTCCCATGGACCTTTCGAGTTTTTCATTGATGGAATTACTATCGACCTGATTCTCTGTAATGTGGTCCAGTGAAACTCATGCTGCCTTGTGTAAACATGTGTAGGGGTGAATGGTGCCACTTGTAGCCATATTGTTGGAAACAAATCCCTCACCATTCTCGTTCCTTCCTCACAGTCCATGTTGTTCCATGATATCTTCTTATCCAGTGTTGTCCATTCCGAGTCTAAGTCTCCCATCAGGATGGTCTGGTTCTATTCTGAGCACTTTTGTAGAATGAACTGCAGCTCCATAAAACTAACATTTATTATTTGGGCTGTCATCTTTGGTGAGCACATTGCACTGAATGACATTAATTTTAATCCCCTCTTTGTTTTGCAGGATGATTTGATGATCTATGAGATTCCCATCCTATAAGCAATTTTCGCACTTCTTCACATAACATTATTGAAACTTCTTTTGTGTGCAAATCATTTCCTTCTTTGTGACTACAATACAACAGTATCTCTC